GAGAGAGAGAGAGAGATTAAATTCTTGTCCTGCAAACTCCCTTGCAAATGCATGGGGAAAAGGAAAACCACGAGGTTATGTGTGTTTCACCTTCTGAATTGGCATTTGATGTTGCGAAGAGGGAGACGAGGAGTACAATTAGAGCCCAATAACCCATTATTGAACCAGTGAGGAAAGTAGAAGTCTAGAGAGAGAAAGTCTAGAGAAAGAAAATAGTAATATGGATTTTTTGTTGGGTGGAACTACAAACTTGAAGAGTGAGAATTTATATGGAAATTTCAACATGGATTTGGAAATCATCAGGAAAGGAGACGGAAATTCTCAATTGATTTTTCAAAGTTGAATAGTCAACTGTTGACCTCCACCGCTAGGCACAGACCTTAGGTTAAAGGCATACCATACACCGGTGGTGTAGGGGGTATGATACAAAACAGCGCATGCACCGTCTTTTTCCGATGATGGTTGGTGGAGATTAATCGTGAAAGAGCGTAAGTGTTGATGAGTACGAATTAAAGTCAATCTCTGCCGTTCGATCATTCACAGATGCTATACGACAGTTATGTGTGTGCTATAATTTTCCTAATTTACTAAGTGTGAGTTCCTGAGATATGCCCAAAGCCCAATTGGTACGTGATACGAATTCTCTCCATTATTTCGATAGCGCAGGAATCTCTAGTCCTTTTTCCTTCAATAAGGATGTCACAATCTTAAACTTTCAAAAAAAATAAAAAACTCTTTATAGTATGATGGTCCATAAAGATATATTGGTCCTTAAGGTCCATCACTACTTGTACATCTTCCTACCCTTTACTTTTTTTATCTTTACCACGTACCCTTTACTTTTTCTTATCTTGACCACGCGCTTTCTTGACCACGTGCTTTACTGGGCGTGGCTGCTAAACATTAGAGGTTTACTGTTAATGCTAGACCTCATGTATGACGTAAAAGTGTTTTAAATAAATTAAATAAGACATAAGGTAAGAGGTAGCCTAGCGACTCTTTTTTCGTTTTTTTTTTTATAAAGTGAGCTCCTCTCTCTAGTTGAAATTTTTATCGAAAGCTTCTTTTCAAATATTTTAAGTAAGTAATTTTATTATTTTAAAAAATAATCTGTTCTTTTTAAAAATAAAATGAAATAATTACTTCTGCTTATTATCTTGAATTTTAGGTGTGATAAATTTTATGTGCACATGACTTTATTATTTTGAAAAATAATCTTTTTAATAAAATTATGATATTTTA